CAATGAGTCCTTCTCCCAAGCCTTGCACAAAATAGGCCTCTCCCTCCACCCCGACTCTCACACAGACCGCTGTTCCCTTTGTCCTGCTCTAACTCTTCTGCATGTGCCCACAGGCCCCTCATCTAAGCCTATGTCTGGCTCTTTCTTCTCCCCTTGAGGCACTGCCTGTCTCTTCTCCTAGATGGGAAGCCCCGGAGGGCAGGGACCCTGCGTGACTCACCAGTTAGCCTTCTCCGAGTGTGAGCAGAAGGAGGAACTCCAGTAAGTCTTTGTGACTATGAATCACGGGGCCCAACCTCTCACTGTACAGATGAGCAGACTGAGGCCAAAGAGGAGAGACTGGCTCGTGGTGACAACAGGAGCAGGCAGACCTGGGGGCACAGCTGAGGTGTCCGGGTCTGCTGATGCTTCCCACGAGATGGGGAACTGGAAGCCGGGCTGTCACCCTTCCTCAGGGCCTCTGTTGGAACCTAGCCATTCTCTGATGTCTGTTCCCATCTCAAGGCTTTTCCCTACGCTGGTCCTTCCACTAGGAAGGCCCATCCCTCCATCTCTGACTAGATAATGCCCACTCACACTTCACGTGGCATCTAATCTGACCCTGCCACAGGGCCTGGGGCCTCAGAGGCCTGAAGGAGCCCCCCACACGCCCCTTTGTGGGTCAATGTTCTCTTCTGCCCTCTTCCCTCCTTCACCCCTGCCCTGTGTCTCTCCAGAGACCCTGGTTTCCTGCCAGAGAAATTCATGCCCTCTGTCCCTGCCTTACTCACTGGGGGCTGGGAAAGTCTCAGGCCGGGTCCAGGGTCTGAGCCCTTACCAGGAGAACTGGAATAGAACTGGGAGAACTAGGAGAGGTAGGGGATGTGTGAACATGGGGTCACTAGTCCCTACAGCTGCCCTTCCCCTGTCCATCCCATAGTCACCCTGTCTTTCCCATTCCTCCTTTCCCTGTCACTCTGTCCTGGAAAAGCTCAATGTTCTTTTTTTTGGTGGCTGGCTGGTTCAGGGATCTGAACCTGTGACCGTGGTGTTGCAAAGCTGCACTCTAACCAACTGACCTAACCAGCCAGCCCTAAGGTTCTGACCACCACAGTGTCAGTGACCCACGGAGGCACACAGAGCCCCCCATGGGAACACTCATGTGAACAGAAAATAGCCACTCTTTCTTCCACACATTCATAGGTGTTCTCACACAGCCACACACACTCATAGTTACACACCCATCACAGTCAGACACAGTCACTGACACACAGTCTCAAGGAAGGACAGGCACACACCCAGAAAGTCTCAGAGAGTCACCAGGAGTCACCAAGGCTCTCTATCTCACCCTTGAATACACGGAGCCAAACTAAGATGCAGACTCACACAACCACAAACGTACACACACCTGGTCACACGCACACATAAGCACAGTCACAAAGTCTCACACACAGACAAAAACAGAGTTGCACACAGAGAGAAACCGACACACACAGTTGCACACAGGCTCCCGGACACAGAACAATGGGCACATTGTCTGGGTTGGCAGCAGCTGGGGAGGAAGGAGCCACACTGTGGACGGAGGAGGCCGTGGGGGCTGCTGTACCCCCCACCCCCACCCCTCAGCATCCTAAGCCTCTTTCCTCTTCCAGAAGTCAGATTCTGCTGGGACCTGGATTTGCTGCGAGGCATACTCTCACCAGCCACCTGGGATGTCTGGTAGGGATGCAGGGCCTCCCTGTGGACCAGGCTCCCTCTGAGCTCTGCGGACTCGGGGTCCTTTAGCTCCATGCTCCTCCCCCTTCCTGGGGTCCTCGAGGAGATTTGCCTCTTAATCCTGCAAGACAGCACCTGGGGATCAGGAGCCTTGGGATCTGCTCTTAACCTCTGACCCCAACCCCTCCAGGACTCAAATACTCTGAATCTGAGCCCTGCCAACTGGTGCAGTCAGCGCCTGGCAGTATTGTGGGTTTCTTATTGTGATCAAGACAGAGAGCAGGTCATGACGTCCACCCCTTAGTGGCAGCGGACGGAGGAGTCACTGAACTGTCAGTGAGCAGCAGTGGGGCGTGGTGCCCCTCCCATCCCAAAACGAGCTCTTCTTGCCTTCCACTCTGACCACGTAGCCCCAGCTCTCAATAGGAAATTCTTCCAGGGGTTTCCTTACAGCCCCCAAATCATTTTATCAGATCTCTACAAACCCTTTCTCACTCTTAGCTATTGGTAGCTGCTGTGTGCCCTTGGGCATGTCACTTTCCCTCTCTGAACTTCAGTGTCCCAGTCTGTAAGATGGAGGGAGGGGTGCTAATAAAGCTGAGCGTATTCTGTAGTCTGGGGGTGCGGGGGTGGGGAGGACACGGGACTGAGTGCAGAATGTAGAAGTTGCCTCAGCCCTCCCGCCCCCTCTGTGGTCAGATCTGTGAGGAGTTCCTATTTCTCAGGCCCTGGGGTATTTCACACCTTACAGCCTCAGGCCTCCCAGGAGGCCTTACCTGTAGGAGGGAGAGACGTGCTGAACTGGGTGGGACACAGCCTTGCTTTTGCAACACTTTGCTTCCTCCAGCCCCCGTCCCTTTCCTCCTGAAGGCTGAGGGCAGGCAGCCGGACACACACATCAGGGCCAGCCAAGATCTTGGGGTTTCCCCAACCTACCCAGGCCAGGGGAAGAAGTGGCAGAGGACGCGAGCTAGAGCACCTCTGGCCACCCCACCCTGCCTGCAGGCTCCCTCAGCCTCAGGCAGGGCAGTAGGCTGGTCTGGGCAGCCTTGGGAGCTGTCCTCAAGGGGCTGTCCCATCCCTCCCCTTCAGAAACTGAAGTGTCTTGAGGTCTGTAGGGAGCCCCGATGTAGGGGAGCAGATATGTGTGTGGGGAGAAGGAAGCACCAGACTCAGGCTCCTCAGCTTTCAAATGGGGGTGGACATGCCCGTCAAGGGCACCGAACCCCCAGAAAGGACTTCGTACAGGGTCCAGGCCGAGGGCAGGAGGGGCTGGAGGTGAATTTGTCTGTCCGGGCCTCAGTATGACTGGCTACCAAGGGTCTGAGAGGAAGGATGAGAGACGGGCCTCTCCAGTCTGACATGTGACCCCACGGCAGGTCAGACCTCCCAGGCTGGCCGCCGCAGACAGGCAGGGACGTGGGTGGGACCTCCGACCGGTCTCCAGGCCCGAGGGGCGCCGAGCCCAGTGCGGGGCCTTGCCGCTTCTACGCCCACATTTCCTGCAGCATAACTCAGGACCAGTAGTCTGATGAGTCCGGGCGTGTGAGCCCTTCGAAGAGTTCAAGGGGGGCACTGCTAGGGGCCGTCAGTGCAGAAGCAGGGCGATGGGGGCTGCTCCACGGTGCGGGGAAGGGAAAGGTGCAGCGAGGGGAAGGAATGGCTGCTGTCTCCCCTTTTCTCTAGGAGCCCCTGCCCCGCCCAGCTCGCCCGAGGACCGGCCTCCCTCCTTCCCACACCGGACCCTACCTGCCCCCGTAGTTGGGTGGGGTGGGGGGGGCCAGATCGCCAGCGTAGTCCACTGCGCAAATGGAGCCTGCGACCCGACCCCGCCTCCGCTCCTCGATTGGGCGCTCATTTAAATGTCCGGCCCCGCCCCAAGCCCTGGGCGCATATATATAGACGCTCGGCGGGCGGCGGGCGGCATTCTGGCGCGGAGCGGAGCGGCGGTGGGCGCAGTTACCGGGTTGGCTACGGAGTGGGGGTGCAGCTCGGTTTTCCCCCGACACCCCTCCCCCTCAGGCGCCATCCCCACCCCT